ACATAACAAAGTGTGTAAAGATCAGAAATGACATAGAGTTGGAAATAACTAATAAAATGACTAAATTTCACTCACCAGCAAATCACACTGAAGTGGGGTTGCAAACTCAAATGTCTTCAGAGACTAGACAGGTGTTCCAGTTTTCTATTGCTGCACAAAAATTTTCCACAAAGTTCAGTGGCTTAGAGCAACAACCGTTTTATCACATCATTTGGTGGGGAAGAATTTGGATAGGGCTCAGCCTGGTGATTCTTCTGGCCTGTGGTGTTGCTGGAGGTTGCTCTGGGCTGTTCAGGTGGCAGATGGCTGCTCTGGAGTGGGCAGTGCAGCTTCCTTCATGAGCTGGGCTCCTTGGCAGGAGCAGCTGGGCTCAGCTGAGTTATTCTCCATGTTTTTCCTGCGATTGTAGCAGAAAAGCAGCCATAGACAGTATGTAAATGAATGGATGTGGCTGTGTTTCAATAAAACTTTATTTACAAAACAGTGTGGCCTGCCTGACATAGCTTGCCTACTCCTGCTACAGATGAATGAGAGAGCAGGGACATCTGAAAGGACTTTCCAAAAATGATGAAAAATGATTACAAATGGATGATGGATGATGGGGGAACTGGTTAACTAAAATTTAATGCATCCACAAAATGTAATACTATGCAGCTATTTTTAAAAAGGAAGGAGGTAGATATTTTTTGTTCAGTGGCAGATTGCATTTTCCAAAGATGGCGACTTGGATGTGCCATTCCTCCCGTGGAGATGGGGGCCTGTGCCCTCTGCCTTTGAAACTGAGTGTGCCTTTGTGCCTGCTTTGACCAGTCGAGTATGATAGAAGTAATGCATTGGGATTTTTGAGGTCAGTGTGTGACAGGGCATCTAGCCTCCACCTTGCTGTTGAGAAAGCTACCAGGTGACCAGCCTGACTCATGTGCAGTGGCCCATGCTGTGAGTTCATCTACACTCGCCCATTTGGAAGGACTATATAGAGGAGATTGAGGGACAGCATGAGATGGAGAGATGCCAGCCTTGGCTGCCTCAGCAACTCACAATTCCAGCTTCAGCCACCCTTTGTAGAGAAGCCAGACCTCCCAGCCAAGCCCTTCTGGAATTCATGACCCACAGAAACCCTGAGAGAAAACACAAGGATTGCTGCTGTTTTAAACCACTGAGTTTTAGAGTGACTTGTTAAGCAGCATGAGATAGCTAAAACATAGATAAAGAAAGATGAACTAACTATATCACTAGGTGACATTAAGCAAATTAGTACAGTATATATTTATGGAAGGATATACAAAAGTTGTCAAACATTGTCTCTGAGAAATGGAACTGTGAATCTGGGGTGGGAGGGAGACTGCTATTTTCATTTTATATTCAGCATAATTAGAAGTTTTTACCATGTGCATATGTTACTTGATAATTTTTAAAACACTAGTTTAAATTTTACATAAAGCAGAGAATGATAAAGCTAGAATATACCAAGTTCATAGGATTTTTTTTAAAAATGCATTGGTTCCTATTTACTTTCCAATGCATCTATAGAAATCAGAGCTGTGTGCAATGGTATTTTAGATGCTTTGCAAAATCACAAGATCACAGCCATGGGGCATTTCTTTTACACCAGCTCAGATTTGGAGATAAAAGAATATATTTAATCATGGATAATTTAGAAAGAAAACCTGTTTCCAGAAATAACACAGATCAAAGTAAACACTTCATCTCAATTCATGGTCTTATTAATCTTGGGGTTCTTTTTTTTGAAAGATAACGAGATACAAATTTTAACTTTAAAAAAACCCCTACAGGTTGTCATGTTGTTAAGATCATTATCATTACCATCCCCAGTCTAATCCTCATTGCCTTTACTGAAATGTAAGAAATGTTTTTAATGAGATCATTTAACAGAAACATTTGGTAAAGCTACATGCTGGAGTCTCTTTTTTAATCCTAATCGCTTTGGAGGAGAGAGACAGATTTTGTCCTGAAGAGACTAGATTTCCATAAAATGATGCTGTATAGTCCACCCTCTCAATTCAGACATGATTTCCTAAACCTGGAGGTTTTATTCCTCAGTTTTAGCTTTGCCTTAAATCTGTGGATCACAGATGTGGATGTAATTTTGGTGATTTATTCAAGCCCTCTTCACTTGCAGATGAAGAAATATATATTTTAAAGTTCAATTACTTAAAAGAGTCATTCTCAAACTTGATCGGGCATTAGAATGACCTGAAGGGCTTGTTAAGCCACAGCTTGCCGGGCCCACCCTCTGAGTTTCAGATTCTGTGGATTTGGATGGAGTCTGAGAATCTCTAGCAAGTTTCCAGGTAGTGGCGATGCTGCTGGTCCGAGGACCACACTTTCGAGAAGTGCTACTTTGAAATAATTCCTTCTCAAACTAAACTGGAAGGTTTCTTTTCCTCTTTTAGGCAAAAATCTTTCAACTATGCTCAGATTTTTCTTTAAACTTAATCATTACTTAAATGAACTGTAAATGTTTATCCCTTGTATCTCTTTAAGAAAGGTGCACATCCCCCTAACATTTTCCTTAAGCTGTTCCATTTGTCTTTGGCTTTTTTGAGTTACCAAGACTGGAAGTTCTTGCGCAATCTGCCACGAAGATGAACGGCCCTGACACCTTTGCATGGAGGGCTTGCCCATTCTCTCCCCTTGCTCATGTGCTTGGCTCTGACCCTTGCAGCTCCCTGTCTTGTGGGTGTTTGAGTCCATCCTCAGGTGTGCTTGATATATATATATATAAAATGTGTGTGTATATATATTACGTATATATAATATGTATATATACACACATATATATGTACATATATATATATTTTTTTTTCCTGTGACAGGGTCTTGCTCTGTCACCCAGGCTGTAGTGCAGTGGCACAATCTTGGCTCACTGCAACCTTTGCTTCCCTGCTTCAAGCAATTCTCCTGCCTCAGCCACCTGAGTAGCTGGGACTACAGTCATGCACCACCACATGCAGCTAATTTTTGTATTTTTAGTAAAGACGTGGTTTCACAATGTTGGCCAGACTGGTCTTGAACTCCTGAACTCAGGTGATCTGTCCACCTTGGCACATCAAAGTGCTTGGCCTCCCAAAGTGCTGGGACTACAGGTGTGAGCCACTGCGCCCAGTCAGTGTGTTTGATATTTATAGCCACTTCTCTAATACATCATAGAAAATATCTCTCAAGGTTTTGGTGGTTTGCATGCAGATCATGATTTGACACAAACATTTTGAGTATGTATTTGTTTAAATAGAATAACCCTCTGTAGTAACCTTTTTGAAGCAAGGTTTGTGATGACCTTTGTATGTCACAGCAGGAATCTGTTTTTGATAGCAATAGGTCACAACCTTATATCTGTTTTGTAAACAGGCCTAGGACTGTAAATAAATTAATAAAGCACATGAGGGTTGAAATAAACTTTACCCAGTTAGGTCACAGTTCCTGAAGGAGAGAATAGAATCTTATCAGAGTAAGCCAGTTGCATTCAACATGTTCTGAGAGCCTTTGTGTGCCCAGGACCAGGATAGGGGTTGAGCACACAATGATGAGTAGGACGTGTCTGCAGAGGGCAGCCAGACAGTCTTGCATAACAGTGGCCAGTGCAGACTTTGAAGTAAGTGGGATTGGGTTCAAATTCCACATCCATTACTTGCTGGCATGGACCAATATGTGCCCTCATGAAGCTTGACTTCCCTCCATCTATGAAATGGGAATAAAACACCTACTGCATATGTCTTCCAAGACCGTCATGGGGTATTGTCTTGTTTTAGCTTGCTCGGGCTTCCATAACAAAATTCTATAGACCATGTGGCTTAAACAACATACATTTATTTTCTCACAGTTCTAGAGGCTGGAAGTCCAAGACCCAGGTTCTGTAGGATTTGGTTTTTGATGAGGGCTCTTGTCCTGGCTTGTAGACGGCTGCCTTCTTAATGTGTGCCCACATGGTCTTTCTTGGTGTATGCACATGGAGAGAGAGAGACAGAGAGAGCTCTCTTATGTCTCCTCTCTTAAGGGCATTAATCCCATCATAGAGACCCCACCTTCATTACCTCATCTAAATCTAATTTCCCCCAAAGGCACTCATCTCCAAATACTGCCTTCCCCCCAACCCCACCACCTCCCATAGTGGGTTAGGGCTTCAACATGTGCGTTCTAGGAGGACACAGCCCATAACATGCTTATCAATTGCTTGACCAGTTCCTGGAGTTAGATAATCACTCTGTTAGTAGTGGCTTATGGCTTTCCTTACAAATGTTGTCTTCCTTCTTCAGGCCTCTGCTACCAGCTGTCACCAGATGTAGCTCTGTTGTGAGGACTAGAAAAAACCCTGAAGAGTTTTAACAGGCTTTTCATTTGCACCTTCTAGTTACTGCTCTTATCAGAGGCTTTCGGGATAAATTTAGCTAGCACAGACTTAGGCGTTTCTTTTTCTGGGTTCTAAATTCTCCAGATACTCTTCTGAGTTCAGTATTGATTCCTATTTCACAGTAATGTGCCTGTAATACAGATAGGGAAGCTCTGGTGTATTGTATCTCTAGGTGGACATTGAAAGTAATTTTAAAATATGAGATTTTTATTAGTCATGTTCCGGTTTTTGGAACATTTCAGTAGTCCTGTAAATGTGATGTAAAAGTGAAAACAGAAGAGTATTATATACAGCATATACTTTACTTTTAAAATTCCAATAATTGATTGAACTATTTAAGGAATGTGTATTTTTTGCAAAATTGGACATCTTCACTGTGTTCACTTGTTAAAGTTAGGTTAAAAGATTTGTTTATGTGTTACTAATTGTTTATGCAAAACAATCAAGGTTGTTTTACAAAGGAAGGGAGTAAAAAATGGGGAAATCAGGACAAGATGAAGAAAGGAGATAGGAATCACATGCCAAAGGCTCCAAACTGGCGATTACTTCCCTTGTAGAAAAAAAGATGTTCCCCTATCACCAAAATGCTTTCATGCATCACCGATAATACTGTGTGTTTTCATTCCTACAGAAAACCAAACCTTTGATGACAGAATTCTCGGTGAAGTCTACCATCATTTCCCGTTATGCCTTCACTACTGTTTCCTGTAGAATGCTGAACAGAGCCTCTGAGGACCAGGACATTGAGTTCCAGATGCAGATTCCAGCTGCAGCTTTCATCACCAACTTCACTATGTAGGTGACACGCTGGTCAGGGTCGAAGATTTCTGTGTGGGGTGGTCAGGTTGAGCCTGAGATGATGTGAGGTCCACAGTCTTGTAGCGGGGAGGATTTATATTCCAGTAGGTGGTATATGGATCAGAAGGTCGATTCTTTTGCTCAAATTCATTGGTTGGTTCATTTATTCATTCATTCCTTTTCTTCTTCTCTTTTTACCTCCCTCCCTCCCTCCCTTCTTTCCTTCCTTCCTTCCTTCTTCTATCCCTCCCTCCTTCTCTCTCTCCCTTCCTTCTATTTTCCCTTTTTTATTCAATTTTTTTTTCTTTCTTTCTTCTTTCTTTTCCTCTTTCTTTCTTTCCTTCCTCCCCTCCAACAAATGAATGACCATTATGGGCCAGGTACTTTTCATGGGAACTGGTGCACTTCTCTGAGAAAGACAGCCTCACTCTGCTGCACAAATTCCAGTGGGGAGAAACAGTCAATAGATAAATGAACAAAGAATAAATGAGATGAATTTCAGACAGTTGCAAATATGATAAAGATGGCAGGTCAGACCGAGAGGGCCTTCCTCAGTTAGGGAGATCTGGGAAGAGCTTTCAGGAGGCTCTTCCTCCTCCATGGTGAAATTGAGGGCTGAAAGATGAGGCAGCATAGAACCTTTGATATGCTAGATTGGATATCTTTCCTCCTTCTCTTAGCCAAGAAGTAAAGATATGTAAAACGGAGTAGGTGTTGGGTTTAATTTTTGGCCCAGATCAGATGATAGTTGGTGAGTCTTCATGGAAGTGTGAGCAGATCTTGTGATTTTTCTCCTAGAGAATCACAAGGCATCATGGGTTGGGTCTTGCTATTTGAACCTGTTGAAAATTGCCCTAGAATAAAATGAATGATTCAAAGGTAGTGCCCTAGTCTGGAATGCATTCTTTCTACACATCCAAGAGGCAAATAAAAATATTTCCTGGGGTTGTCATGGTTATAAGATCCATGTCTGAATTTGTCTTGGAACTGCAAGCTGGTAGCACAGCTGTCTCTTGTGTTTCAGGCTTATTGGAGACAAGGTGTATCAGGGCGAAATTACAGAGAGAGCAAAGAAGAGTGGTGATAGGGTAAAAGAGAAAAGGAACAAAACCACAGAAGAAAATGGGTAAGTATTGGTTAATCAAGGAATTAAAAACCCATTTTAGCAAAGTGTCAGGTTTTCTATGCCTTTGCCTACTCCTCTTGTTGTCTTACTTTCCTCCAAGTATTTTTCTTTCTTTTTATATTTTATCAAAATAATAAATATACCTGGTGAATAACATAGTCGGTAAGTGTTTGTAATAAAAAGGAAAATTTTACCTTACCTATCCCTCATTCTCACTTCCTACACATATCCCTTTCTAATATTTCTATACGTAGTTTGTAGTTTTCGTTTTTTTTTTTTTTTGAATGAGTTCTCACTCTGTTGCCCAGGCTGGAGTACAGTAGTGCAATCATGGCTCACTGCAATCTCAACCTCCTGGGCTCAAGTGATTCTCCCGCCTCAGCCTCCCAAGTGGCTGGGATTACAGGTGTGCACCACCACATGCAGGTAATTTTTATTTATTTATTTATTTATTTATTTATTTATTTATTTATTTTGTAGAGACGGGGTCTTGCTATATTGCCCAGGCTGATCTTGAACTTCTGGGCTGAAGCAGTTCTCCCACGTTAGCCTCTCAAAGTACTGGGATTACAGGTGTGAGCCACTATGCCTGGCCTGTACATAGTTATTTTGTGTGTGTGTAGTTACCTCCCTAACTCTAAATATTATGATAGTCATACTTCAAACGTTTTTTTTGATAAAAATAAGACATTATCTGTTGACTCTTTGCTATAAATAAATGGTATATGGCAAATTAACAATATTCCTACTTTTACTCTGCATTCAGATTTTTATATTATTATTTTATTTCTTCTTCCATCAATCCAACAGTGTTTAGACTATCTTGGACTATCCCTACTATCTTAAATGATGATATTCCCTCTCTTAACCTCCACTGTCTCTCTCCTTTCTCATTTCATAATGTTACCTAATCATTGTTTGAGTTATTAGCTTCTTGATTCTGACTTGTAATACTTTTATTCTTTCTTTTGTCTATAAATTGAATCTAAACATTGAAACCAATACATAGCAATTGCTTTTTAATGACTATAGAAATAACATGAACTGCATGCAGAGCCACCTAGTACACTAAGATTATTTTTTCCTCTCCACCAGTCCAATGTGTAGGCCTTCATCCCCTTGGCAGAAAAATGATCTTTGTATCTAGATAAAATGGTGTGAACCTGGTAACCTGGTTTTCCTCATGAATAAAAAGACACCATTTTGAGAAATTTAGTTCTCTAAAATTATAGACTGCCAGAAACTTTGCTGTTGGAAATTTTATTAGTGACAAGGGAATGCCTCACTCTTGTGTGGAAGACATGAGCCATGGGTTCGCTTTGATACAGAAAAGCAACCAAGGTCCAGAGCTTCAGATAAGGGATTTTCAGGCACAAAATTCCACGTTTATCTTAATGTCATAGTTTCTAAGGACACAGTGAATCTTTAGTCTGCTTGTCAGTCCAGACTGAAATGATGGTTTTACACACAGCCTTTGCTTTGAGACTGTCCAAATACTGCTCTATTTAAATTTAACCTATACTCCATCCTTTCCCTAATTCTATAATAACCCTGTCTCTTCCTTTGATGAGTCACCTCATGGTGCCTCTGGTATGTGCTCTCCCTTGCTGTGGCAAGTTATTCAAACCTAACTCTGTTAGACTGTGGATTTATCCCAAGTGGTCTTTATCACAATTGTTCAGAGTCATGCTACAGATTAGTTTAGTTGAATCATGACATATGTTTCTGTTTTTCCTGGAGTTTCTAATTGCTTTTGTTTTTTCTTATGATATAAAATGATATATAACATCTAGCGACACACATAACTCATTTCAAATCATAACAAAATGAACAGCTATGACCAAGTTTCTGCAAGCAGTGACATCCTTATCACCCTTGATATCTGGCCAACAGCAGTTGAAAGACATCACTGATTGGGAGACATTCTGATTTCAGAGCTGTTAAAACACGGATGTCTTTATATCCATGAAATACTTTCATTGCTTTTCAGCCTTGATGCAGAACTTTTACCCTGGTATCTCTTTTCATTTTCTTCCGGGTTCTTTTTTTATTTCATGTATTCCACATTTTCTTCTTTTTTGACTCTCACCTTTACTTTGCAGAAGATATATTCTGAAGTAACTTTCTCAGAATGGGTGCATGAGAAGTAAATTTTCTGAGACCTTGATTAATATTTTGGCTGTGTATGACTTCAAGGTAAAAATACTTTTCCTTTAGAACTTTGAGGCATTGTTCCAATGTCTTATAACATCCAGTATTATTGATGATACATCTAATGGGATCAGGTAACATCCCTTTCACGTTTTCTCTATGTGATGTTCTGAAGTTTTACAACGGTGGGTTTCAGTGTCAGTCTCTTTTCATTCATCCTGCTCAGTGCTCGAACTTTTCCATTTCAATACTTGTGTCTCTTTCCAGTTCTGTGAAGGAAGAGTATAGAAAGCCTATCAGCTTAGTCATTCATTCACATTGGACTTGGAATTACCCTCTCTATACTGGGTCCCTCTTCTCCCTTCCATCTTGTGGTGTCCTGAATTCAGAGCCTTCACTCTCTCACAGATTCTACCACAGAGCTAGGTTCTCTTTGCTGCACCCCTTCGCTGCATGTTCTGAGCTATAAAATTCTTGCTCTACTGAATATCCTAAGCCTTCTGGAAACTTCTTGAAATGTCTCACCTACTAACGGTTGCCACTCCCATTATTCCTCTGGTGATCAGTCTACCATTTTGAATAAGAGAACCCTCACTTCAAGTACTGAAAGCATCTGGAGTGTGTTTTTATCACCTTTAGAGTCCTTTATTCCCTACCTTTCCTGCTAAACATATCCACCAAACTTTACCAAGATGTGAAAACCTAGTATGTTAGCTATTTTAAAGTTATGTAAAATGCCAAGATTCATTGGCCATCCTTGTAAAGGGAGAGCACAATTTACAGCTTCACTCCAAAGCTCTCTCTTCAAGCAGTTCACCCACTCCACGTCCTTTCCCATTGCTCCCTTGGGTCTGTCTCAGGGAGAGGTAGGACAGTATTCTTAGAATCCTCTCCTGGTGGTATTCTTTGACCCTTGGTGACCTACCTCTAGCACGAGGTTTCACTTCTTCTAATATTAATTTTTATTTTTCCTTTCTTAGGACCCACACTCACACCCATGGGTCTCCCTGGCAGGCTGGTTGGGAGGGTCTGACTGGTGCCCTGTGGGGACTGAGGGAACCCGGCTCCATCCTCTTCTGAACCTCCCTGGGGTCCTTTTCCTATTTCCTGACAGAGAGAAGGGGACTGAAATATTCAGAGCTTCTGCAGTGATTCCCAGCAAGGACAAAGCCGCCTTCTTCCTGAGTTACGAGGAGCTTCTGCAGAGGCGTCTGGGCAAGTACGAGCACAGCATCAGCGTGCGGCCCCAGCAGCTGTCCGGGAGGCTGAGCGTGGACGTGAATATCCTGGAGAGCGCGGGCATCGCATCCCTGGAGGTGCTGCCGCTTCACAACAGCAGGCAGAGGGGCAGCGGGCGCGGGGAAGGTGAGTCCTGCGTGCTGGGTTCACGCAGATCAGTGGTGAAAACGCCCAGCTGGTACTTGGCTTCGGAGAAATCTACGAGAGATGGCACCCCTTCCTTTCAGCGAAGTCTTTGCATTTTTGTAGAAATTGGAATGATAGCAATGAAGCTAAGACAGCACTTGGTACTTTTTTTTTTTTTTTTTTTTGAGACGAAGTCACTCTGTCGCCCAGGCTAGAGTGCAGTGGCGTGATCTTGACTCACTGCAACCTCCGCCTCCCGGGTTCAAGCGATTCTGCTGCCTCAGCCTCCTGAGTAGCTGGGATTACAGGCATGCGCAACCACGCCTGGCTAATTTTGTATTTTTAGTTGAGACGGGGTTTCAACATGTTGGTCAGGCTGGTCTCGAACCCCTGACCTCGTGATCCACCGGTCTGGGCCTCCCGGCGTGCTGAGATTACAGGTGTGAGCCACTGCACCTGGCCCATATTTTTTATTAAAGCCATGCTCTATTAAAAATGTATGAGTTATTAACGCAGTAATACCACTTCTGGAAATCCATCCTAGGTAAAACATCTAACATATTGGGAATGTCACATGCACAAGCTCGTTTGATAATGTTTGTGGTAGCAAAAACATTCCAGCAGCCTAAAGATTCAATTCTATGGAAGAGATTAGTAAATTCCTATTATAAGACAATTCGGCATGTGGCAGAGAAGAAAAGGCAAATTGTATATGTATTATAATGTTAAATATGAAGCTGATAAAATACTAGGAAGTTATAGAAAATAATCATTTTGTATCAGGGGTATGAGATTGTGAGGCCATTTTCTAAAAATCTGTTTTTTAATATTCAGCAGTATGTTATATTCTTTCTAAATTTAAATAATGAAAAATGCTTAGTATAGATGTAAGATAAAGGCAACCTGATTCATTAGCAGAATCATTCCGATTTTTAAATTTTCTCAAATTCTGATTTTTAAAATAGCTCTTCATTTATTGAAATGAAAAATTACAGTGTAATCTAGTTTTAATCAGTGTATTTTTTTTCCTTTTTTGGGGAGGGGACTTTCTGGTTTTCACAAAGTCTAAAAGAGCGACTTTAGTTACTATATGAATTTCAACTTATAGTATATGTTAAATATTTCCTTGTGTTGGGCTGTATACTTAATATACCAGTAAGCCTGGTCAGTGTTGAATTGGATGAGACAGGAGAATGTTCAAAAGTTGCACCAGGATTAGAATTTCAAGATATCAGAGAATTGTGATATTGAGGGTGGAGAAATGGTAAATGACGAGCAGAGAATGTCGGAATCTGTATTCAGTGCCTGTGGCTGCACAATCACAGAGTGACCCAGGAAGGCTTCTTGGACCAGGATATTTAGGGATGAGATCGGCATTAGAAGAGAGAGAGATGCCTCGACAAGTGGAATCAGAGAATGTTGGTATGTAACATAATACAAAAATAGCCGAGGCCTAGAGCTGGTCTGTGGAAGGGCAAACAGTGTGGAAAATACGCTTCCTCCCCCAGCATGCAGTTGAGTTAATGACTTGGTGAGAGGCGGTTCACTCTCACAGACTGAGGGTTTCCTGGCTCTGCGAGAGACCCAGGTCCTTTGTTATGTGTTGGACTCAAGTCTTTTGTTATGTGTTGACTCCAAACAATGAGCTTGACGTTCTTAATCCAGATCTAGCTGGTATCTAGAAAAAGCGAAAATATTGTCAAGGTACCTGGCATTTAGAAATGGCGTGAGATCCAATACACCATTCTTAGGTCATGCAGGTGGTAGTTATATGGTTAATGGATTTTAGTTCGGTTGTTAATTGTAACCTTGTAAAAAACGCAAGGCTGTAAGACTTAGCTTGCACATCTGGGAAACGGGGGCAATAACTAGTTCATGGGTCATTGTGAAGTGCTCATGTATGTAAAGGGCTGGCCGCAGAATGAGAGCTTAAACATTGTTATTACTAGTTATCACATTATATTGACTTTTTTTCTGTGCAAAACTTATCTTTGTAATAAGATCATCAGGGCCTTTGAAAGCACTGTGTCTGATTAACCTGCATCTCCTTAGCACTTAACACAATGTTAGGTAGGTAGCTAACTGAGTGTCTTTGAACTGCAGAAGAAAAGCAGGCCAGGGATAGGGGCTAACACCTGTAATCCCAGAACTTTGGGAGGCCAAGGTGGGAAGATCCCTGGAGCTCAGGAGTTTGAGACCGGCCTGGGCTACGTAGTAAGATGTCGTCTCTATGAGAAAGTAAATAAATAAATAAAAAGAAAAGCAAACACAAATGACTAAGAATGTTTTAAAATTTCATTTCTCTCTAACAATACCTCGGAAGAAAATTTTCTCATGTGCAACTGTGGGAAAGAAGTATTTTCTCAGGGGGCAGAGTTGTCAGGATCTCCTAAGGAGGGTAGAGTATCTGTTAAGTGTGTCTGAAATGAGAACACAATCAGTAGCTGTGTCAGTAGAAGGTTCAGAGGGGAGTCCTGTTGCAGTAATGAAATGCGTTTTGCCCGATTTTCAGAATCACAATGACTCTTCAGAGATGTGTACGTGTTGTGGGGTGTGTATGTGTTTTGTTTGGAGGCAGTATGAATTATGACTGTTAGCTAAAAAAGTTGCTTACTGTTTATATTCAGGGCCTGTTAGTATCTCAGAGGAATTTTTCCAAACGGTTGATCTCTTGGGATCTGTTTGTTTTTAAGGAAATTGTTTTCCTAGCTCCTTGTACCAAAGCAGATACTTTGCCGTCCAGAACATGAAGCTTTTACAAACACGTCCCAGAGCCAGGTGCAGTGGACGGATTCCCTTTTTGCTGCTCCCCACTCTCGTCTTTCAGAGCTCAGCGGTTATTATTCCTGCAAAATGGCAGCCTCAGCAGCTTGAAGCACAGGATGTTGTGATTTTGTCTGGATATCGCTGCGTGTTTCCAGAAGAAATCCAGGCTAGAGATCAAACTGGAACTGGGCTTGTACCAGAACTATGATTGTGCGAATGAGGTCCAAGCCAGTACATTCCACTGACAGATCTGGCTGTGTTAAGAAACCTAACTTCTGGAATTTGTCTAAGTAAATCTCTCACCATGGACCCATTTTCATCTTTAAAGATGCGATTCTAGATAAAGATTACTACCGTGTGCTAGATACTAGACTAAGTACTTGCAGAGTGTATTATCTCATGCAATTTTTATAACAACCCTCTTAGCTTGTATTTTTCAATCCCCATTTGAATTATGAAGAAGTTAAGAAACCTTACTTACTTATGGAAACAGAGGTTCAGTAATATGGACAAGGTCTCATATTTAATTATGGATAGAAATAGAACTTAAGCATAGGTCTATTTTATTCCAAGTTATACCCTTAACCACTGCACTACCTACCTCCTCATTAAATAAACTGTACATTACTCTGGGTGGAGTTCAAATTCCGACTCTCTTCGTAAGTATAAAAATAAAAAGAAAGACTAAGAGCAATATAATCCACCTTTGCCTCAGTTTACTTTCTGGTGTATCAGGATTGAACCCACATCAGTTGAATTGTAAATTAATGGGATCTTTCCCAGTGTAAAAGGCAGTTCTGTGAGATGTATTTTGGAAGTTGAAACATTATAATTTCTGTTTATTAAAATAATTAACACAGGCACGTGGTTCAAAATCTTAAGCATTACAACTTGGTAGACAGTGAAATACAAGACCCCCTCTCCCTTCTGTCTCTTCGTTCTCCACTTCCCCAGTTCTTATCCTCTGCAATATTCTCATACTTTACGAGCTCAGTGGAACAGAGTATTTGAAATGAACGCTTTCCTGGAACATGCCTGGGATGTGTGATTTCTGAAGGTATATTCTGACTGATATTCCGAGACAGATATTCCCACTGCGTGATTGTTTTAAGGCTGTTTACTCTACTCTCTTTGTTAAACTCGTAAATTTCCTACTGTCTCACTTATGGCACCTAAATTACTACCCTTGCCATGATTCTAATACTTTTTTTTTTGGCAGAAAATTTTCATTTATGACAAGATGCCCAATGACTAGGGGTAAAATAAAACGAGATAAATCAAGTGATAAAAAGGATACCTTACTTATTTTATTATCGTTGTGGTTTTACATCAATGACTCTCAATCCTGACTATACTCTCTAGTAACCTAGAGAGGTTTAGAAATAATTCCAGGCAACCTATTCTAGACAAGTCCTACCCTGGCCTAGACAAGTGATTTTGAATTTATTAGGGTGAGGCTAGGGAGCTGTACTTTTGGGTGTGATATTCTATAAATGTATATTAAACACTTACAAATCTATGAGTGATTAAAAATTTTTAGTTATTTGTAAAGTTAAGAATAATGCTCACTATTTTTTCTGCCACTTGACAGGGGTGGTCGTATGATTTTTCATGGTTTATCCTTTCTATTCCTTGCTTTTTAAAAAGTTTTAGGGAAGTTTAATTTACACACCATAACATTTGCTCATGTTAAGTGTAAAATTTAGTGATTTTTAGTACATTGGCAGAGTTGTACAACCATCATCATGGTCCAATTTTAGAACACTTCTACCACCCCAAAAGAATCCTTGTACCCATTTGCAGTCACATCCTGTTCCTACCCCAGCCCCAGACAACCACTGATCCACTCTCCATCCCTGTAGACTTCAGCTATATTTAAAAAATCACCACAGATAATTCAGATGCTCAGTAAAAGTTGAGATCTATTCCCTTGGATTTTCCAGCAGACCTTAGGACTATTAACTATGTCAAAATCTTGACCTACAGAAGCAACTTTTAAATTAAACAAGATTGGGCCGGGTGCAGTGGCTCATGCCTGTAATCCCAGCATTTTGGAAGGCCAAGGCGGGTGGATCACCTGAGGTCAGGAGTTCGAGACCAGCCTGGCCAACATGGCGAAACCCTATTTCTACTAAAAAACAAACAAACAAACAAAAAAACCCAAAAATACAAAAATTAGGCATGGTGGCATATGCCTGTAATCCCAGGCACTTGGAAGGCTGAGGCAGGAGAAT